AGTGAAGGCCCCAATTTGAAAGCTTCTTGTTCCATAGCAATGTACAGATCATTGGATTTTTCCAATGTGTATGTATATACATGTTTATCTATTTGGTCAGGTTGTAAACGAAAAAAATCGGAGCGAATATTTTGCTATTCAATTTGGATTCATAAATTTGTATTTGATTCGCTGTTGAATTTAATTTATAATTTGTATTTGATTCAGTTAAGATAATTGAATATATTCATTTTCGATTCGAAATTCGCCTTCATAAATGTGTTTTTGTAAATAATATATATATATTTTAGATAAAAACAGGTTAAATGTATAAATACTTTTATATTTTAAATATTATATAAATATATTTTTGGATTTAGCAAATATTTATATGAATAAAATTTTATGTCCTGCATAATGTATTAAATTTTATAAAATTTTGACTAACAGATACAATATTCAAATTGAACATGTGCGTCTCCCAATTGAAATTTGTAGAAATTTGGAATACTAAATACTTCATTCGAATTAAAAATTCACGAAAACGAATCACTAAGTTTGAATCATTAGAAACTAAACAAAAATAACAGCTAACGCCAATAGGAATAGGATTTCAGTCAATGTTTTGTGGATGCATCATCTAAATAAGGAAATAAGATGAATATCATGTAATTTATAAGGCAAGAAGATAAAAAATAAAATTGCAATTTAGCCATGTTGATTTGATCAAGTGACGTTTTTAGTCCTAAGAATTGAACATTTTTGCTATTCGGTCATATGATTTTAAAATTCAATGCAATTTCAGTCATTTGGGACTGAAAATGCAACAAAATTTAAAATTACAAGACTTAAATTGCTGATAAAAAATCTTTTGGATAAATTTTTTATTAACAATTTAAGTCCTATAATTTTAAATTTTGTTGCAATTTCAGTCATTCGGGACTGAAATTGCAGCAAAATACTTAATTACAAAATCAAAAGACAAAAATTTGAAATCTTGGGACTAAAAATGCTACAGTGTTAAACCAGCAGGACTAAAAATACAATTTTGCCAAAGATAAATGCAGCTAGCTTTTCAATGGGCAAAACATGATTCAGTTTTAGTGGTGTCATAGGTTATTCATCTTGGCCAAACTTTTAATCTAATAATGTATCAAATATAAATGATAGTCAATAGGCGATTTAACTCTTCACCTTTAAAGGTATAAGAAAGCATGAAAACATGCAGATGTTTGAATTAGTTAGATTGACAAAAAAA